CTGAGCTGCATCAACGACCAGGTTCCAGAAATTCAACAACTGGCTAGTGATCTATGGAAACAGGTCGGAGCCCAGTACGAGAAGGAGAATGAGAAGGACCTCAAGGACATGATGGACTTCCCCCTGGACCCCCCCTCCTACCCCCCAGGAGTGGAGCGTCCAGGGATTGGCTGTAGAGAGTTAGTGGTCAGGAATCTGGGGGTCCTGGTTCCAGCTGTAGCCCGTGACATCAGCGACTGGCTGGTGGCCACGCGGGTCAAGACCTCGCAGCTGCTGACGGTGCTGCTCCTCCACGCCGAGGACCACAGCACCATGCACCTTCAGCCTCTTCTGGCCGCGCTCTACCGTGGGTGCACCGACAGAGAGAAGGTCGTGGTCGACAACTGTCTGGAAGCTGCCAGACTCCTGGGCACCTTGGTTCCTCCGGGGGTGGTCCTCAGACTGCTGCTGGACCACCTGAGAACGCCCCCCTCCTCCTCCCACCCTTGGGTGCCGCTCATGGTGCTGGCTGCGGTTTTAGGGGGCTCCTCCAAGCCCCTCCTTCAACCACACCTCCAGCAGATTGCAGACACATTGGTCCAACCTGAAGTGAGTCAGGACCATCAGCAGGTCCAGTACCTGCAGCAGCTGTCGGCCTGTGTGGATGTGCTCCTCCGTCGGTGTGAGTCCGACTGTAGCGCCATCAGCCGACAGCTGCTGCAGGCGCTCGTGGCCGTGCGCAGTCTGTCCACGGACGCCGCTCTCCAGGACAAGGCCTTGGAGAGTGTGCAGCGTTTGTGTGAAGTCCAGAGTCTGGACTCGGTACCAGAGCTCTACAGACGACATATGGGCCACCTGTTGGACCAGCTGTCGGACTCGGTCCACAGCTGGTCCAGTTACTCCCTGCACAGACTGCAGCTCAACGTCATCGTCGCTCAGTCTGGTCCGGTGGTTGGGGAGTTTGTGGGCCAGTTGATGCCCATACTCCAGGTCTGTCTCCAACCCGACAGAGACCCAGAGATGAGACGGGACGTCTTCACCATGTTGGCCAACTTGTTGCAGGATGCAGCCCACACACTTGATTCTCAAGGTCGTTTTCAGGAGGAGTCTGAGAAGTTCCTGTGTGATGTCCTCCTTCCTAACCTGGTGTGGCGGCCGGGGCGAGGCGCCGGGGCCCGCCCCCCCGCCCCCCCCAC